CAATCATTGTAAATATAAAATGTGAGAACAAGAGAGAACAGATTCTCGCTTAATAATTTTGTATTTCACTAAATGTGCTACGCATGTACCAGATGAGGTGGAATACGATAAATGTTTGAATACGCAATAAATGTTTGAATACGTGTATTGTGCATTTGTTCAAACCTTTTTGTATTTATCTCTGAATTAACGGCTATGATACTGTACTATTGCGACTCACGCAAGCGTCATACATATGTTAACGTAGGCCGTCGTTGTTGAAAGCGAACTTTCAACCCCTCGTTAAGCCTGTCTGCTTTATGAATCCACCCAAGTTCTCGAAGAATCCGTCTTAGGGTGACCTTGGGTTTCTCGGTTGTCTCATCTGTTTCTCGTTTCTCTGTTTGTTGGCTTCCACCTCGACGAATCTGGAACCGTTATTCTTGCCTCTCACGTATTTGCCTTCAGTAGCCATGTTTTTCGCCGTATCGACCATGATTCGCGAAACGTCTATCCTGACGTCCGTTGCTGTAGAAATCAGCGTCCTTTTTTAACTCATCTTTGTGATAAACGTTACGATATCCGGCGGTGTTACGAGCTTTCGCGCGGCCATCTCTTGTCTCGTAGATAGCTCCCTTCTTTTTCACAACTTCTTCTTTATGATTCTTTGCGCTATCCTCGTTTTCGGAATGGCTTTTACTCTTACCAGAGACTTCGGTGTACTCAACCTTCTCGTTCTCCTTTCTCGTGTCGCTCTTCGAACCTACCTCGAAGACGGCGGGACTGTTGGTACCGTGATCATCTCTCGCGACTTGTGCCTCATACTTTGACGCAGCGTAATACGCATCGTCATCTTGATTAAATCTATTGGATTTACCAGAGTTCCCGTCGTTTGTCGCGGGGGCTCGTAATGTTGCACTTTTGCGACCCGGACTGGTTTGCGATTTTGCAAACTCAAGTTCCATGTGGGTGACTCCAGGTGGCTTCACACCCTTATAACCGATCGGCAACATTTCCGCTTCAGGTTCTATAATCAAGGGTAACAAGACCGGACTGCTTTTTGCCTTTGCAACGATCGCTCTCATTGTCGACAGTCTCCCCTCCTCGAACTCTTCACTATCTTCGAGGATCTTGAACAATTTAGTCACAGATAGCTGCTTCTCGAAATCGTAGCCATTAGCTATTGATTTTGGATTGAACAATCTTGAACTGCTAATGTACCTCTCATTAGATCGGTCTCTCGACGGATGCGCGCAAACACAGAGCATAGCGCAAGCGACATACCATGCTGCATAGATCTTCATTTGTTTCGTGGATGTCCCCGTTGCTTGAAAGCAACCGGGTAGTCCAATCTAATTCACGAATTTGCTCGAAATTATATTTGTATATTTTAGTAGATATAGATAGACTATAGGCACAAGACAGTGACTTCTGATGTGGTAACGCGCCGGCATGCACTGTAACAATCGCGCAATAATACCAGCTCTTTTATATCCGTTCGACAATCGTTCAGCCGAACCGAAGACCGATCATCGATTTCACATGGCCTTAGCGTATCTATCGTAGCGTACAATCAATTCAAGATCAACGGTGGTTTACGGTACTAGTCGATCAGTGATGCAAAGCGAACTCATGGGATTAGATTGCAGCTTTAGGGAGCAGGAATGTGTTGTGAAATATAGATACATATTTCTCCAATTTGTATGAAAGGAATCGAATGCTCGTTAGTTTGAAAATTTTATTTTTTCAGATAGAAAAATGAAATGATTTGAACTTAGATATATTCTCTATAAATTTGATCAATTGACGAGTAACTCTTCGAATTATTATGCAATCCCGTCGAAATATTGTGTAATGTTGTGGTGAAAGAAAAACCGTTAATAACGCGCTCCACATTTGAAGCACCGACGCGACCATGAAACTCTTGACGTCGCTAAATAGCGTGTCACTTACACGATGACGGAAGAACAAACGTGTCCTTCTAGCATGCGTATATAAAGCGATAATGTTGACGAACGGATATAACAGTGCCGGACAATTCGGCCACGAGACAACGATTGTTATCCGGTGTATGGTGGTTATCGGGATGCGGGATTTGGTTAGCATCAGTTTAATGTTAGCTCTGCTGTCAGCTAATACATACGGCGATGGTGCGTCATCGGCAAGGACTGCACACATGACAGTCTCTAAGATGAAAATAACCGATCTCGAGACCTCGGCAAGCGGATACGCGTACAATCAGCAAGCGGGTCTTCCGGTCTTATACACGCGGTATACCAATCATGGAAGCGGACGTTACTACCATGCACCGACGGCAGTGCATTACATCGTTGGCAGTCCTGCACCTGTTGCGCCCACCGTTTCTGAAACTGCGTCGTCGCACGAACCCGTTCTGCTCGCGTATGCGACTGCGAAGCACGGAATTGCACCGTACGTAGCGCGCCAGCCTTACTCGCGCGATGGATTCATTAATTATGGCGTGGGCCAATTAGCGAAATACGCGCAACCGCTTGAGCCGCCTCAACTGACTGCACGTGCGCCATATTATACGCCTGACACATTTAAACCGCGCGAAACGGATAAAAACATCGACAAGAGGAGCGACGACGAGGAGAATGGGGACGATTATGACAGCGATGAGGACGACGACGGCGATAAAAAGAAGAAAAAAGGGCATGTGCCTGAGAATCGCGAAAAAGCAGTTGATTTTATAGCAACCCATCCTATTCACGGCCTCGACAACTCTCGTTCAGATATCGACGTTTCGTTTGAACACGGTGAAAAGTATTCGGCCGCGCAGAATTCCGCTCATGGAGAAAAGGGCGACAAAGGGTACAGCAAACGAGTAGAATTTGACGTGGGTGAACGCGAACAGCATGATAAAAGCAGGCAACAAGGTGGCTTTTTGCTTTATTTTTTTCTAAAGACATTGATTTTCTCAATACGCTTTTAAACGTGTATATTTTTGCATAAAATGTGTGTTTACTCCGGATGAAATATTACTTTTTGCTGGATCTTTCAGAACATTACGATGCTGAAACTGGACACAAAAAAAAGCACAGTGACGTAGCTGGAAATTATGGCCACTATAATGAAACTGAGAGTGGTGAGAAGGGTAGTAGTTATGGGCAGACATCATACCACAAAAAAGGGCAAAAGACCAGTGGCTTTCATAAAGTCTACCACAAGGATGAATATAAAAAGCATACCGATTTCTATGATGAGAGCCACAAGAAAGGTTATTTCGACAAGCACTTCGTTGCTGACGAGCATCATAGCGCTGCGGACGGCGAATTCAAAAAAGGTGGACATCATGAATCCGGGTTTGATAATAAAAATAGCGGAGAAAAAGGATTTTATGACAAAGGGCATATACAGAACCGTGATCAGGGCTATAATAAAGAAAGAGGTGAAAATTCTTTTTATAATAATTATGAAAATTATGGCTCCAACGAAAGCACGCATTTAACTAATAATAAGAAGCACGCGTATGATAAAGTTGATTGATATTGTTGAACATGTATAATTTAAGGAAAATGTGTGTGTGTATTTTATCTATTGTTATTTTGGATTAATTGTCATTTACACTATGCAATAAAGAGGAAAAAGTTATAATCACATATTTATGATACAGATTCTCACTACGCACAGTGAAAATAATGCTGTATATAACGTTTCTTATAAATTACGAGTACATTACTCTATTAAATGATTAGTGAAAATGTAATCAAGATTTAACTTCGATAAATAATGTAGTTAATAGCACGGCTTTGTGGAACAGTTTTACTAAAAAATTTAACTACATACAGATCAAAAAATAGTTTTGTTAGACTACAAAACAATTTACGTACGCCGTTCGAGCTGATTGCTAGAGAATATCAAAATTTTTTGCAACATCGCTCATCAAGCTTGAGATTCCTACATAATTATTCTGATGGCTCAACAAAATTATTTTCAGATTTGTGTGTGTACATTTAGTTGAATTTTTTAATATTTTAGCAAAATTTTTCTGTACTATCATATTTTAGTAAAAATGTTCCTTATGGTCATTATAATATTATCCCTTATTATTTAATTATTTGTATCTTGCACATTTTTTTTTAATATTAAGAATACTTGGATGAATAATAACCTCTATTCTTTTCTTCTTTTTAATGTATTTTTAATTTATAAATATTTTTTAGAAAAACAGATATTTTTACTTTAATTTTTTAGGGGTGTTAAATATGTAAGAATCGCTTAATTTTTGTGTATATTTATATTATAAAAATAATAAAAATTAATCCGTGACAAGAATGATGTATTGTGTGCAATAAAAAATCAGAAAATCTCATATATATATATATATATATATATATATATATATATACTAAAAGTTAATTTTTATATCTCCCATATAAACAAATTATACATGTAGAGAAGAAATATCAGGGATATCAATTTAAATATTTGGATGTAGATTAATGATATTAAAAATACATAATTTCTAACTAGCACCTGATAAAACAAATATAAAATCGTGTCAATTGCACCACTGAATGCGGTAACTGGCCGGTACTATTGTTTTATGGAAATAGCATGTAACGAGAGGCCATATTTTCTTGTGACAGCTGTTACACCGCAGAAGCGTGACTGATGTAGCACAAAACATGAAACTCCACTGAATTATTACGACAGTTACCGATTTCGCGACACACGTTACGGATGCAGAAATAACTCAAATTTCATTTTACGTTTAGTACACGTCTATAGTGTTATAAGGATTTGATTAATATAGGCTATTGCAGATTTTTGCAAAAAAACATACGCAAGGAAGATTATGACTTAATAAATGCAGGTCGTATTTTGCAGTGAATTGACATAATACAATATGAGATAATATATAAACGTCGTGTAATATATCTACTGAAAAAGATTTATTCTGTTCGTCGACATGTACAACAATTAATGCAGCGATGATAATCAATCAACGCAACTCAACGAGTAATAGCAGCGAAATTATAATTCTCTGCATATCCGTATTAATGTCCCTTCTTGAATCCCCAGTGTTTATGGTCTTCATGGCCTCCTTTCTTGCCATGGTGATGATGATGATGATGGTGCTCGTCGTGACCACCATGACTTTTGTGACCCTTATGATCATGATGATGATGTCCTTTCTCGTGATGACCCTTCTTGCCATAATGATCTTCGTGATGATGGTGATCATGATGGCCTTTCTTAAAGTGGCCGCCTTTCTTGTGCCCATGTTCATGATGGTGACCACCGTGTTCTTCATGATGACCATGATCATGATGTTCATCGAAGAATTCCTTATCCTTCTTAAACTCGTCGAGTTTGTGAACCTCGTGATGTCCCTTCGTGCTGTGGCCCTTATTGAAATGCCCTTTCTCATTGAATTTGTGACCCTTCTCTCCCTTCTCACCCTTGTGGTGTTCGCCATAATAACCATCGTCATGATGATGATGTTTTTTATGGCCTTCGTCTTCGTGAAAATGTCCAGAGTGGCCTTCTTTATCGTGATGTCCCTTTTCACCTTTTTCATGATGATGCTCCGACTTGTAGCCTTTGTCACCTTTTCCGCCATGTTCGTGATGATGATCAGAATGATGCTCTTCCCCGTGGCCGCTTTCATGATGATGAGTAGCGGCTATCTGCAGATCGTCGTAATGCGCCCTACTGATCTCGCGTGCAATAGTCACGCAATGAGAGGCGATACATGCTGCCAACAGGCAAATCGCCACCAATCTATTCATCGCGCGTGTTGTGTTTATGTTCTTATTTGATCCAATATCACAATGAAAGATATTGACTTCGTTGCTGTGATCGGTAGATATGATTAAGCTTGTCGCCCCGCTCGGATTATATATCGATCGCAGAATAATCGATATGAGAGTAGTCAGAGTTCTTTCTTGGATCATTAAGTCGTTGCGAAAGTTAATGTCTCCTTAACCTGTTTAAATTGTAATGCGGATTTCAGTGAGCCCGCGACAGTCGCTCAGACTATTACATAATACCATTGAAATCATTGTCGTGCTTACCAAACTACGTTTATGAAGTCTAAATAATGCATTTTTATCCTTTCTTTTAACCGAACGAACACGCTAATTTTTTCCATAACTTCAATTTAACGGGCGGAAATTTATATGATTAATATATTTCGAGATGAACCCAGAAATATAGTATGACCGGACATTACCATTATTGTGTGTTAGCGAATAATAAAATTAAAAAAAAAATAGTGCTTCGATTGACACCGGAAATAAGTTGAACGGTTATGAATGAAAGACGATAAATCGTCCTGTTGTGCATCTCGTTTCACCGGTCTGTAAAACTGGCATGCAGATAGCTTTTATTTATTTATTTATTGAAAAATTCTATATTAACTTCATTATTTTAAGTGCATTTAACTCACTCTCTCTCTCTCTCTCTCTCTCTCTCTCTCTCTCTCTCTCTCTCTCTCTCTTTTTCTCTCTCTCTCTCTCTCTCTCTCTCTCTCTCTCTCTCTCTCTCTCTCTCTCTCTCTCTAACGGACTATTATATTTAAATTAATTGTTTCGAAAGTTGTAAATTTTCGCTATTTATTTTTGTTAAAACGAAACGTTAAAAATTAATTGATATAATATTCTTTACGTCATTCAACAAAACGTTCGTTTTTTATTATCATGTTTGAAATTGTTAATTTCAAAGAAATATTTTATCAAAATTTTATTGCATATATATGAAAGATAATATTTTTTCAAATATATACATTACATGTACGTACGTATACTACACGCGTGTTGCAATTTGCTTAATATTTTTTACAAGCTTTGATATAATTTTAATGTATAAATGTAACAAAAATATAATTGCATATCTTGTAATTTTTTCTCTGTTTTTCTCTCTCTCTTTTTACTTTCTACTTCATATCAAGTTTATTAAGTAACTTAAGAGATAAACAATAGTTTTGTATAAATAATAGCGCATTCAAGCAATAATATGCAGTACGAACAAGTGTTTTACGAAATACGAGTGCTGCATTGTGTTCGAACAAGAGCGAAGGAACGAAAGTGATTACGTACAAAGCATTGGTGGAACCGCAGGTATATAAGCTTTGCTTTAAAGATTGTTGGACAGTCAATTGCATTTGTTGGTTCTATATAGTTCCAACATGGCTAAATACGTAGGTTCATGTTTGTTTTTGGGATTGGCTGTGATATGTACGATCATTGCCATATCTTCGGCGCGAGATGTCCGAAGTTTAAAAGGAGATTTGGAGATGGCCGGTACTCATCACCATCACCATGGCCATCATCACGAACATGGTGGAGGTCATGAGCATCATTCCCATCACCATGGAGAACACGGTGAAGAGGGTCATAAAGGTCATAAGGGACATCATCATCATGAAGAGGGAGAACATGGCGATCATGGTAAGGAACATCATGAGGGTCATCATCACGAGCATGGTGGTCATAAGAAAGGTCATCACGACGAACATGATGAGCACGGTCACCATCACGAGCACGAACACGGCCATAAAGAGTCGAAATTCGGCCATGGAAAGGGTCATAAAAAAGGCGAAAAGACTCATGGCTATCATCACAAATCCCATAAAGATGAATTCCACAAGGAACATAAATTCTACGATGATTATCATAAAGGTGGCCATCATGAGAAGCATGGCGATCATCATGAACATCACCATGGCAAGGAGGGTCATCACAAGAAAGGCGGACATCATCATTCTGGCCATCATGAAGATCATCACGGTAAAAAGGGTCACCATGATAAAGGACATTATGATGAAGATCATCATGGTCATCATGGTAAACATGGTCACGAAGAACACCATCATCACCACGAAGATCATGGAAAGAAGCACGAACATCATGGCGGCAAAAAGCATGGTTATTCGAGCGGCCACGGTCACCATCACGGTCACCATCATCATCATTAACGACATAAAACTTGTCAATTTAGTGCAATACAAACAGAATAAATTGTTGCACCATTTGTTCATTGTTCTTTCGTTAATTATTTTTAAGATGTCAAATAATAATGGATTTATTTCGTTATTGAGAAATTAAAATGCCTATACCAACCATGATTGAACGCATTATTTCCCTTAATAACCCTTATGTACATCCACGACAAAAGTTTTACAATGTTTACCTTAAATAATATATTTACTATTTTTTACATCAAAACACTCCATATTGTATTTAGTTATTATCAAATGAAGTTGTACTTTTGATTTACAAGCGTCATGAATACAAACTGCATTTTATTATTTTATTTATACTTATCTATAATATTTATCTATACGTGTGTCTTACATATTTATTATAATATAGTATCTTCAGTGACGTTTTTATATTCAATGATTAATGTAATCTAATGCGTATATTAAAAGATTAAAAGTTTATTGAACACATAATGTATACATTTTTCTTTAAATAAATATATGATATAATATATAATATACTAGGATAGGATATACACATAGATAAGCGTAAAACACTTTAATATTCTAAAAAATACTTTATTAATGCACACAACACATCTGGTCTTAACTATCTAACATATTATGGAGATATTATATAAATATTTATGTCAAAATTATTTTTTATATCAAATTCAAATTTGAATATTTAATTAAATATGAATATTTTGAAAGAAGAGAATTAATGGAATATTAATAATGCATCGTAAAATTTTATCATGCACTAAAAATTAAAACCTATAAAATCGTTAAAACATTTTTTTCTAATTTATAGAGATGTATAAAATGATATACGATAACCCATTCTATTGACTACAATAGATGTACAAATTTGAATTAAATTACAAGAATAAAAATTCTCTCATAACTGTTTTAGTAGAAGTATTTATTTTAATTTTTTATATTTGATTTTAAATTTATACAATAAAAGACAATATTGACACAGTGTAACTTTCTATCGTAGGTTCAGCGAACTATTGAAAATCAATAAAGGAAGTTTAATCAGTATCACGTAATTCCATTTATATAACTTTAAACAAGTGGTAGATTACAAAATAGAACAGACCTCATATAACTTACCGCAACGAAGGAAATGAAATGGAACTCCCCCTCTCATCTTTAATTTATATAAATATATACTTTTTCTTACAAAATTTGATGGTTCACTGCACCGAAATCGCAATATAAATAACACCCCACGAATCACTACATCATATAGCTTGCATTGCTAGAAAGCGCTTAGATCTATTAATGTAACTAATAGATTGAGTACTATAATACAAAATGTTTCCTCTACGTCGAACATTGCCGCTAATAACAATTCTTGTAGCAATTTATATTGCCACTAATTGCGTGACCACTGCACGTGAAATTACTAAGACTCATTACGACGATCTTCAGATAGCCGCTAGTCATCATCACGAACATGGCGGTGGGGGGGAGCATCATTCGGGTCATCATCATGAACATGGTGACCATGGTCACAAGGGTTATAAGCATCATCATCATCATGGAAAAGGTGAGAAAGGACATCATCACAAAGAACATCATCATGGACATCATGATGAGCATGGAGGACATAAGAAGCATCATCATCACGACGATGGTCATCATCATGAGCATCATCATGGTGAAAAGGGAGAAAAAGGTCATAAGTTCCACGAGAAAGGACATTATGGCAAAGGTCACAGCACTCATGGCCATCACGAGGTAAAAAAGAAGGATGAGTATAAGAAAGATAAAGAATTCTTCGATGAACATCACGATCATGGTCATCATGACGAACACGGTGGCCATCATCATGAACATGGACACAAAAAGGGTGGCCACTTTAAGAAAGGACATCATGACCATCATCATGATGAGGGTCATCATGGTAAGAAAGGTCATCATGAGAAAGGCCACCATCATCATGATCATAAGGGTCACAAAAGTCATGGTGGTCACGACGAGCACCATCATCATCATCATCACCATGGCAAAAAGGGTGGCCACGAAGATCATAAGAAATGGGATTACAAAAAGGGACATTAAAACTTGTTACTACTCGAGAGATACCACCAGCTGCTTTTGAATTGGATTCCGTTACTCGTTCTCGATCCTACTACTCATGTTATCCCTCATATTATGTAATAATCCAGTAATATCATATATATTCCATATCTGTGTTAATTGTTAATTGTGAACATTGTTAACATTGTTGAAATAAAGTAACATATATTTAATACATCTTTTTTTATATTGTACGCAATTTCAGTATTATATGTGTGATAACATGATATTTATAGTTACAGAATTCTGCTGTAGCCAAGCAAATAGTTACAAAGAAATCCGTGATTATTATATTAGGCTTAAAGATCTCCTTTTTATTACCTACCAAACTTTTTAATATTCAAATGTTCTGTACAATAATTATTAAATTACCATGAACGTACACTTTCTTAATTGAATAGACATATATGCGTTATTGATCGACAAATTATGAGTACCGTAAATTATCAGCGTGCTTGGGATCTTCGCTTTTAATAAAAATTCCTACGCTCCAGCTATTTATCAAATTCCAATATTAATAAACAGCATTAAATTCGCCGTTGGTTATAACGCGTTATCGGGCAGCGGTAAATAAAACGTATTCCCGCGGTACACTGTACGTATTAATATTTAGTTCAGCGAACTCTTCCGAGGGTGTTCTATAACTCATCTGGAATGCTCGTTTAAAAAATAGAATTTAATTAAAGAGAAACACTATAATTGTTATTGTCATACGTGTGAAAATCGTATGTAAGATACACGCAAAAAGCATTCTGTAATTTTCAATTAATATTCATTATTCATTAGCGCACGCATTCTCAATCTGCTTTGCAAGATAACGATACTACTGCACTTTCCAGCGCGTTGCATATGCGTCGTTCGTTTGTAAAAACAAGCGAGACAAGAACGCACGGGGGCCTACTATCGTATTCATCGCGCCGCGAATTTGATTAACGATCCCGCCCTGCAGCAAATGAGATCGCCACTTCCATGGTGTACGTCCGAATTGAATTCCGGTACCTCGGGCACGGATTAACGGGACTTTATGCACTTCTTTACTGCCACGTACGATGTAGTGAGTGTTCAGGGTTGCGCGAGCCCATTCTCCGCCGGAGATTGCATGCGCGCGGCAACGAATCTACTTGAAATGCCTGCCCTGTGACAATTCCGGCGGCCGTCGAAAGGGTCTGCTATTGTTTCGCTTGTAATGCGTGCACGTGTAGGTGGTTTAATTAATGTAATTGAAGTGACTTCGGTGCGGAACAAAAAAAAAAAAAGAAAAGCGTGAAATGCATGAGCTTAAAGAAGTACGCACCACTGCGGTGTACTGCAATTTCGCATGCTTTCATGAAGCCAAAATAATCGCGCTATTTAACCAAATTAATGAAGACTTGGGAACACTTGGCATTTGCATTGCATTCCCGCCAATTGTTACCAGAAACTAGAAGCTTTTAACGAAAAGAAAAATAATCGTTATTTTTTGCGGAACAAAATTTACATTATTATGCCGCATGTTTTCCTGTGCAATAAATACAGAGAACGATAAGTTATCTTTTAAGAATAAACGCAACAAGAAAACAAGAGTTCTTTAATAAAACGTTGCTGAAAACTGGCTAAATAAACTCTTCCGTACCTTTGATAAAATTTTCACAAAGTTGAAGCAACCCCTCGAATAATAAATGATCTGCTTGCTGCAGTCGTATAATGAAAATTGCATCATGAGGCTGCGCAAGAAATCCTTTGACGTAAGCTACTAAATTAAATATTTGGATTAAGCTCATCTTGTTGGCGTATTCATTGTAATCATGCTAAGAACCGATATAATCAAATATGTTCATAATCAAAGCATTACCCTACTATATAGGGTAAGTGTTTCAATCTATTTTTAGGGAACATCAAATAAACGCAATGTAAAATCGATTAAAAAGTTCTATTTATTTTCGATTCAATTTGAATCAGTTTTCTAGTTTATCTTTTTTAACGACATTTTTATTTAATAAAAATACTGATTGCGCATGGTTATTGGAGATTTAGTTTTTATTATTTACAAACAATTAATTGCCAGACTTATAAATTATATACGTAGGTGGATATAAATAACACATTCTAAAATCATTGTTGATTAATCAATGAATAATGAGCGTTGATTATGTATACGCGTTACAGAAGGTATCTGCAATTTACATTAAGCGGTCATATGTTTTCAACGGCACGCATCGGCTGATCAAATCATAATAATATGACACACAATGTAAGAAAAATAAAAATTAAGATATAATCAAATTTATAATCAAAAAGCACTACCAGAAATAGTAAGTGTTTTAATCTATGTGGAACATCAAATAAAAGCAATGAAAACCCATAATTGGAAACTCGTTTACCTTCTATTCAATTTTAATCAATTTTTCAGTTTATTTTTTTCAATGACATTTTTACTTAATATAAAAAAGCTGAATATCGAGGTAGAATTAACTAAATAAGTCTATAGAAAGTTAATTGTGCAAAATTAACATCGATATTGTTCTTTAGGACAATAATTGATAACCGTAAAATGTTTTAATTCGATCTAAAAGAAATTAATGATATAAAGAACAATTTTAACTAAATTTTTTCGAATATAATTGTAGAATACAATTTAGATAACTCTGCTTTTTAATACAATGTAGTATCGATATGATATTATAAAAGCATATTTTTATTTCGATGTTTTACAATAGATGGTATAGTATTATTATTATATTGCATACCATTACATGAGACACCGCCGCAACGTGTAGGCGTATGCGGTATTTATCTACAAATTTAACCGTGTCAACTTGCAACGCGCGTTCTCGCGGCCCATTAATATCCGGTAATCAATTCAATCAGCTGGCCAATCGATTAACCTCAATTATTGGTGCATTAATGATCTGTGCTATATGTGACATTAAAATTCATACTGCAAAATTAGTGATATATATTACTCTTATCCGACAATAGAGACCTAACATTGAAAAATACTTTCATTCTACAGTAATTCACGCCTTCTTGAACCAATAAAGCTGTCGTTTTATATCTCAGAAAAAGTTAATAGACCATATACCGTTTTCAAGACAAATTTTTAGTCAAATTTAATTTTTTAATCGAATTGATAATAATGATGCACACACAACATTAATGCGATAATATAACTTTCAATTATTTTTTCCAGCAACTAGTTATAATAAGTAAAAATTCTATTCATATGATTTGAGAACAATGACGTGTTCTTTCACGCGCAATTGTTATCTTTGTCAATAAGCGAAGGCACAAGGCGAAAAGAAATGGCAAAATTACTTTAGTTTGCCGATGGGAAGTGATAAAAGGACGCTGAGAAAAACGGCGGCAATAAATCGCGAGAAATCGATAAGGCGTAATATCACGTTGCCGTCTTCACTGTAATGTAGCTGCTAGGACAAATATGGGCTGCGAGGGAAGAGAGGAGAAGGAGAAACTTATTTGTTCCATTAAGACTTAAAAGAGAAAGAAAAGTCAACGAGCCGCAACCAAATGATTTTTTTTTTTTTACGCGTTAGTATTCGCACGTTTACTCTATATAAAGAATGGTACAAAATACAACAATCGCGCGACTTCGTCGCGTGACTTGGTCCGGAGCAGGTACATAAGTCGTAACAGTAGAACGAGTAATCGCTTTTTGATACGTATTTGAACGTACAACTCTAATGCCCCTTCTTGTAGCCGTACTTCTTTCCGGAATGATGATCGCCTTTCTTGCCATATCCATCGTGATGAGAATGGTGCTCCTCGTGACCGTGTTTGCCATGATGACCTTTATGTTCCTCGTCGTGATGACCTTTGTCATGATGGCCCTTCTTGCCATGATGATCTTCATGGTAACCGGAATGATGATGACCACCCTTCTTATGGTGGCCTTCCTTTTTCTCATGATGACCTTGGAAATCACCGTGCTTCTCATGGTGGCCACCCTTATGATAATCATCGTAAAACTTATGTTCTTTATGATACTCATCTTTGTGGAATTTGTTGTGATAACCTTTGGTTTTGTGACCCTTCTTGTGGCCCTTCTTTTCACCGAACTTTCCACCTTTGTGACCCTTCTCGCCCTCGTGATGTTCGCCATATTTTTCATGCTCATCATGATGGCCCTTCTTTTTACCTCCGTGTTCCTCGTGATGACCGGAGTGATGCTCCTCATCGTGCTTACTACTGTCACCTTTGTCGTGATGATGATGGCTCTTGTATCCTTTGTCACCTTTTCCACCGTGCTCCTCGTGATGATGAGATTCATGTTTGTGACCACCTCCGGATTCATGATGATGATCCTTATGTTTGGTCGCTGCTGTCTCGAGATCAGTTTCGTCTATTTTTGCAATCGAAGACGATTCTACGGTGGGCTCTAAATGACCTACATGATGGTCAACGTTCTCTTGTACATTGCGTCGACTGATGTGCGATTTCGCACCGGCCAAATCTCGGGCATGACACGTCGTGTGCAATGTGAGCGAACATATTGCAATGAATGACAGAAATAACATCGTACCTCGCACCATCTCGATCGCACTCGGTTTTGATCGAACTGATGGCCGATGTTACAACGGTTGACACTTAAATATCGATGGTCCAGCTACTTCCGTCACGGCGCGGCCGTATGTTTCCGCCGAGTCCACTTTCATCCGCACGACCGCAAGTATTCCTAAATTTCGTTCCAATCTCCGTTTATACAGTGGGGAGGCACACGGTTTCACACTTTCTCGCATCGCCGCACATTGCGTTTATTCTACTAGAATATTCCGTCGTACTATCTTGCAGCGTTCAATCGGATGTTAAAATATTATTCGTCGAGTTGGATCTCATTGTAATTTTTTGCTTGCGAAGTGACATAACAAATTGACTCGTTAACGTTTCCCTGAGTAATATTTGCAAAATTATGAATTTCCAACGACTGTTCCGGACAACAATGTAAATTTTTTGTTTGATTAATCGTATCTCGATACACTGCGTGAACGCATTGTTTCCGCAAAAACTTGTATCCGGCGTCAGGAAGAACTTTCCATTACCACTTTTTCCGCGAGTATCGGTCTGCCGCAGGAACAATAACCACGGAAATTTCTAGACCACAACAAATCGCATTATCGTCTTCGCATCGATCTGTTCTTTTATCCACTTGCAATCAACATTTGCGTTTAGACGTATTTTGACGTAAATTTAGAACAGAATATAAATTGAATTTATATTTTTACTTACATTTAAAAAAAAAAGAATTTTTTATTTTCACAAAACTTGTTAAGTAAATATTTCAATACCAGCGATGATACAAAACGTTATTATTTTTGCTTTTTTGATACAACAGCGATTAATTAATACATGAAACGTAAAAACCACGAAACGCGAATGGCCAAATATCTATTTTAAATCAAAGTGGCGTCCCATTGTCCGACACGTGCATGCGCTCCGATCAACACCTCACGTAGCGATGTGACCTCAATCGATATTTGAAGTTAAGTACCCTACCAGATGCTCGCGCAATCATTTTAATTAACGTCATGACGTACAAATACAGGATATGCATATGTCGCGTTGAATGCCCTAGAAGCGTTTTGTTATTACAGCATACGCGTCGTCGCGTTCGCTAGCTCATCGATAAGCTGTCTAATTTTATCATTAATTCTATCACCTGCGACATAAATTCGCCTCTCGTAAACACAATGCCATTTATAACGTCATAAACCAAAAACAATTTATTAAGTTTTACAGACGTCGGCGACGCGTATATCACGCGTGGCGCTCGTTGCGCGGATCGTTTCGCTAACTGTTGACCCATTTGTTCTGGCAACCCTGACAATTTTATTAGATGATCTTGAAAAATCATCGAAAACGAAGAAAAAGTAATGGAATAAGGTTAGTCTTAATCTTCCATCAATTTTAATGTCAATGAAAAGAAGAAACTCGAAATTTGGAATCATTCAATGAAATCATTCTCTCTCACAAACAGAGCGAGAGAGAGAGAGAGAGAGAGAGAGAGAGAGAGAGAGAGAGAGAATCTGTAATGTTATCAAATAAAAATTAAAATATTAAAATTTGTAACTGATAATATAGTATCATTAAACATCTTTAATTTGATAAATTCCGTCAGAATACAAAATAAACAATAGCGACTATGATGTATATGATAACAGAAGATGGAAAATTGCGATAGTATTGGTGTTAATTTCCATTGCAAATCTAAAGTATCGGTTTTGCAGTCTGAAATACTGCTCGATAGATTCTGATTCTTTACGATCTTACTTGGCAACCACTTTCGATTGGAGATTGGCTTTCGCCAGTGTTGGCGCTGCATAATCAAGATAAAGATTGGTTACTGCCCAGTTTCGAGGATCCTCAAACAGAAAGAAGACTAGGGATTCTGGCAAGTTCGATTTCGACTCAGCATCGTAACGGAGATTAGATTAGGTGGCATTCGTCGTAGATCTCGACTCAGATGGAAAAATCGCTTTGTAAGCAGATCCGGGGCGGCGTTAAACCATCCAGATCATTCGCATCTTTGTTTGGTCAATGGGCTTAGTGCTCGGCTTCAAATCAAATGTAAAATGTCATTGAAATCTTTACGTACAGACAGAAAAGCGTTCACGAATCGCAGCGTAACTCGTTGATTCATCCAGCATTTTACTCTCGCTTGGTTTACGTCGTTCCTGAGAAGTGTTAACAGTCAAGATTTCAAAACTTTTCAGGTATAATTTTTACAATTAGAGAGAGGGAAACTCAATCATACCATTAAATCTAACGTGCATTCTAATTATAATCTTATCTCATATTAGGTAATATTAGCCCTAATATTACAAAAGAAGAGAATTATTATTTGTAGAATTTTTTGTTTTAAAAATACATATAACAAAGATGGAAAAATCATAAAAAATAGAGAAACTCTTAAAAACTCTTGTTCGAGATAATGCCATTAAAGTATACGTAAGTTGGATAAGTATTTTCGTTGATTTTGTTCATAATGAAAGAAATAGCGAGTACCGCAGACATCGTCTATTCCGCGTCGCTAAGTTGTGAGGTGTGCAATCAGTTGATGGAACCGTTAGTTCCTCCCAATCCAACGACTGAACTGTCTCTCACATTCAAGTCTTACCCTCGCACCATCTTTCCTTCTTCCTTTCTTCCTTCTCCGTTCCCCGCGTTACCACTCTCCGCGCATTCTCGCATGTTGAATAAAACCGTCGGGTTATACACCGACGCGAACAAAAGGACCTCGCGCTGGCTTCTGGGCTGCTAATGAAATTGTTTTCTAATTTAAACCTGGAGAGACCACCCGACATAGCTACTATTCTACGGTCAAGAGCCCTATTCGAGCTACAAGCTTTTCCGACGATAGCCGCGAGAGAGCTGACAGCGATAGTCTCTAATTTGAGTTCCCTCTCGCTTTGCTCGCCATTTAAACTCATTTATGCAAGCAAACAGTTGATATTTTCAGCTGATCCACCATTGCGATATTCTCTTTTTGACTGTATGCGATAATCGGAATATATTGTGTGCACATACCACGAAATATTTAAATAAAATTTACCAACAGAACGGTGCGTACCTTAATATCTATTGATCAAAATATCAAATAATGTATTAATTGTTTATGTATATCGTTTTGAATATGAATTAAGCCGATTATTCGTTCAATAATGACATGTCTTTTTAACTCGGTAATAATAGGATAAATATATATGTTTTCTTTTTTATTTTTAATACGCACAACACGACGTAAAAATGAAATTACAGAATCAGCAAAGTTTTTTTTTAATCCTACTTGAATTTTAAACAATGAAAATTTTTTTATATTTTTGTGCGAATTTTGTTGTGATTTAAAAATCCCACTTTCGAACAACAAAGATCAATTTCGCACAGACTTTATATTGGTTTCACTTTTACATTTTTAACAATAATCTTGTGAAACGTGGTAGTGAAAAAGTGAAAAATCATGCATTGACAGTAGGATTAAATCATATTTGATGTATTAGATTGCGCATAGGCTCCGAAAAATGGTTGAGTAAAGCGATGACAACAAAATATTTCTTTGTCATGTGCAGCATTTAACGATAATTATCTCGCACAATTAACGAACTGATTTTCCGCTCGGGGATGGGCAACCACCTGGAAAGTTTCCTCGTTATAAATAATTGCAAAATGCAAGCCGCTCGTAAATGTTACCTACACCAATAGCCAGATTTAAAATACGAGACACATTCGTGCGTAGCGGAAAGTACTTTTTAACAAACACATTTTTATTATATTTGTCTTCTGTCAGGTAAAAATATATGTATTTTTCGTTGGCGATTAACCGTGTCTATAATCTACCAACCGAATAGCAATAACTACGCTATCTAGTATAGTTTCAAACCTTCGCTATTAAGCGCGTAATTAAACCGCATCTGTAATGGTGAAATAGATTTAAAAACTTATTTGCTTTTTGCGCGAATCAAAGCGCACTGATTTAAAGCTTGACAAAGATAGAGAACAAGTTATTACTTTCGACCCTCGGGTGGTGTTAAATTAGAAATTAGAACTACTCTCCGCAACAAACCAAACTACATTCGTACATTCACGCTGAGAGATTAAACGATAATTTGATTAGTTGGTGTAGCTAGTGCATGTAATAAACGTTACAGTGCAGCGTAATTTATTCGAATTAAATACTTCATTCTAAGTGAATATCGTACGAGATGTATAAAAGCTGAATCGTGTTAACTTGAAGAATAAATGACGTGTTGACTATTGTGGTATTAAGTCGTATTATTTCTTCTTTGCGGGAAAGAAAAATTCTTGTTTCCCTTTTCCATCATATTCTCGTTCTTTAAAGTTTACATCAGTGGCATTTATTCTGCACGAAACGTACATATACTTATTCCTACTCATCTTTAATTGCATGTATTGTACATTGGAATATGGCTCTGATGAAGAAACGAACCACTTAATGGATTAATGTTTCAACGAACAGATACGTATCCATACCGTGAGAACAAACTATTTGCATGCAACGCGAAATGTACCCCAGAATGGATTAGCTGTTGATAATCGATCATGCACGGACATTGCTAATGTAACAAGTTTCGCCGAGCGGTAATTTCAAGCGTACGCTCGTACTTTCGCGATCGATCCAAGCGCGAAAGCGTAAAGGCAAATTTCATAATGGAAAAGCTGTTATAATATTAATATAGCATTCAATTTGGCCGGCAGCGTGCTTTATTCCACATTATTTTAACGCGACGCATCGATGCAAAAGACTTTTGCATCCTTTAATTAAAGGTGTTGAAAAATCATTTGCGTACAAATATTTACATCAATTGTGACGAAATAGTGCTTGTTACAATTATGTAGATGGCACAAAAAGTTTTAATTAATTACCAAGTGAAATTAACACACATATCGACGATAATATTTTATTGATTATTAAACATAAATTACTATTACAATCGATCTATATTACAAATTTAGTTGCAAAGTAAGTATTAATCGCTTGTAACAAAAATGTGTATGTGGTTTTGCATACGGGCGAGTA